CAACCGGATAACACGCCGTATTTTGACGTGAAAATTCCCCCAACGTCAAGGTCTAATGTACCCTGAGTTAATTATAGTGTTACATCTTACTCTGTATATATTTGCTACCCGTACACTGAAGATATTCTAACTGCTGTCTATGTGTTCAAGTTTGTTTCTAGATTCTGTCGACATCCCCCTCGTTCTGTTGTAACCAACCAGAGCACATGAGAGCCACATACATTCCGTCTTGATGGAGTGCCTTAATGGACCTCATGCCTCGCCATTTTTGCCCTGTCTGAGTCTTCAGTACAGATTTTGTAAATTTCCTCGCGCTCAGTTTCTCTTAATTCTTTATTTACACCAATTTTGCGTTTCATTAATTTCTAATCCGTTATTCGTTTGTTGGGTTGGTAGGGTCAGTTCCAGTTTGGAAACCACTTGAAACCCTTCACTGAGTCCATCACATGCTTCCTCGATCATTCCCCGATCAATGAAATGATAATTTAAATCATATTACATGGTCATTTACAGAGACATTTCCTCTCATATGATGCGGAGAAATTTTGACCGGTCCTTGCCTTTAGTTGCTATATCATTTTGCAAACCTTCTCTGCAGCGCTTCTGATTTTAACATACTCCTTTTCCTGCCGCTTAATATACGTTGTGGGTCTGTTTAGTGTGTGTAAAGGAACAATAATCGAGCACATACTTTTTTTTTAGAAGAGCCGTCTCCTCTTCTCTTTCTGCTTTCTTTTCCTCTCTTGTCCTCCTCCTCCTCCTCCCTCCTCCTGCCCCTCTTCCTCCGTGTAGCCATCCGGGTTCTGGCCGTAGCCGGAAGCCGGAGCTGGCAGGGGGTTGGATGCTTGCTTGCTGACACTGTGCCACGGCTGGCGGGGGAGTGCCACGGCTGGCAGGGGAGTGCCACCACCATACTTATGCCCATCTCACATGGGACAGTAGCCAGGCAGTAGCTAGAAGGGGGATGGGGAGCGGAGAGTAGAGGACTAGCTGACTGCATATTGGACGAGTGACTGTATGCCGTGACTGAGCAACTGAGGGAAGTTGGTGCACAAGGAAGTGGAGTGCAGGTGACTGGATGGGGCTAGGTAAACAAGTGACTGAGTCGAGTACTAGAGCAACGTTCCTCTCAACCCGTCCACTCAGCCCGTCCGCTCAACCCGTCCACTCAGCCCGTCCGCTCAACCCGTCCGCTCAACCCGTCCACTCAGCCCGTCCGCTCAACCCGTCCACTCAACCCGTCCGCTCAACCCGTCCGCTCAACCCGTCGGCTCAACCCGTCCACTCAACCCGTCCGCTCAACCCGTCCGCTCAACCCGTCCGCTCAACCCGTCCGCTCAACCCGTCCGCTCAACCCGTCCGCTCAACCCGTCCGCTCAACCCGTCCGCTCAACCCGTCCACTCAACCCGTCCGCTCAACCCGTCCACTCAACCCGTCCGCTCAACCCGTCCACTCAGCCCGTCCGCTCAACCCGTCCGCTCAACCCGTCCACTCAACCCGTCCGCTCAACCCGTCCTCTCAACCCGTCCGCTCAACCCGTCCGCTCAACCCGTCCACTCAACCCGTCCACTCAACCCGTCCGCTCAACCCGTCCGCTCAACCCGTCCACTCAACCCGTCCGCTCAACCCGTCCGCTCAACCCGTCCGCTCAACCCGTCCGCTCAACCCGTCCGCTCAACCCGTCCTCTCAACCCGTCCGCTCAACCCGTCCACTCAACCCGTCCGCTCAACCCGTCCTCTCAACCCGTCCGCTCAACCCGTCCACTCAACCCGTCCTCTCAACCCGTCCACTCAACCCGTCCGCTCAACCCGTCCGCTCAACCCGTCCGCTCAACCCGTCCACTCAACCCGTCCGCTCAACCCGTCCGCTCAACCCGTCCGCTCAACCCGTCCGCTCAACCCGTCCGCTCAACCCGTCCGCTCAACCCGTCCACTCAACCCGTCCGCTCAACCCGTCCGCTCAACCCGTCCACTCAACCCGTCCGCTCAACCCGTCCGCTCAACCCGTCCGCTCAACCCGTCCGCTCAACCCGTCCGCTCAACCCGTCCTCTCAACCCGTCCTCTCAACCCGTCCTCTCAACTAACAGGGGTAGAGATAGACAGGTAGGGAGATATATAGACAGGTTGGGAGATCTCCCAACATGACAGGCAGAGAGAGATAGACAGGTAGGGAGAAATATGGACAGGCAGAGAGCAGACAGGCAAGGAGAGATACAGAGGCAGGGATATATATATATAGACAGGCAGGGAGAGAGATATATAGACAGGCAGGGGGATATATAGACAGGCAGGGAGAGCGATATAGACAGGCAGGAAGATAGATAGACAGGCGGGGAGACAGATATAGACAGGCAGGGAGAGAGATATAGACAATCAGGGAGATAGATAGACAGGCGGGGAGACAGATATAGACAGGCAGGGAGATAGACAATCAGGGAGATATATAGAGAGGCAAGGAGATATATTGACAGGCAGGGAAAGAGATATTGACAGGGTAATGTATATGCAGACAATCTGGACCGTGAGAGCCGTCTGGCCTCTGCTCCTATCCACAGTCATTGGAATGTTTTAATTAGCGCTCCTAATTTTTTTTTGGGGGGGGCAGGTGCGCTTTTTTAGGTATGGAAATCCGCACGTGCCCCTGTTCAGAGCGTTCGTGTCAAGAGTTTTTGAAACATTCGGCTTTTCCTTTCGTGGGAGCCAGCCTGTGGGACGAGTCTTAGTTGACAGCATCTGTGACGTTGTGTGAGAGGATCATTGTTTCCCGCCCATACGCCTCACGCCCTCACAGCCTCACGCCCACACGCCTCACGCCCTCACAGCCTCACGCCCACACGCCTCACGCCCTCACAGCCTCACCCTACGACTACAAGTCAATCGACCGCATGTTTCAAGCCTGACCACCATATCTCGCCTGCTCATTTCGGCTCATTTCAGCCTCATGGAAGTATTTGTATAGATGTCATTTCCTCCTTCCCCTTCCCTACCCTTCCCCTGTCGTCTCTACCCTTCCCCCTGTCGTCTCTACCCTTCCCCCTGTCGTCTCTACGCTTCCCCCTGTCGTCTCTACCCTTCCTCTGTGGTGGCGTAACAAGCAAAAATGTCGATAGTTTCGAACCAAGAGCTTATTTCAGAGGAGTGATATTTTTACCCTTTAATTCTTTCGTAAAACAACATCAGATCCGTCAGATTTAGCCGGAAAACTGTCGGTGTAAAAGACTGGAGCGCTCCTGGCATCTGTTTATGTGTGCGTTTTACGATGCTTTTGTAACGTTAACGGTCTTTTGTGGTAGCAAAAGAAGCGTCGTCAGATGACCTTCCAAGCGAGGTTCCACAGAGGAAGATGGGGGGAGGGTAGGGAGTCTTCAGAGTTATTGTGTGATCATTTAATACTTATGTGATCGTGGGCTGCTGCAGTGATGCCAGGTGTGTTGGGGCCTCTACACGCCCTCTCGCGCCACTGTGTTTACTAGTTGTGTTTACTAGTTGTGTTTACTAGTTCTGTTTTTGCGGGGGTTGAGCTTTGCTCTTTCGGCCCGCCTCAACTGTCAATCAACTGTTTACTAACTACTTTTTTTTCCCACACCACACACACACACACACCCCAGGAAGCAGCCCGTGACAGCTGACTAACTCCCAGGTACCTATTTACTGCTAGGTAACAGGGGCACTTAGGGTGAAAGAAACTTTGCCCATTTGTTTCTGCCTCGTGCGGGAATCGAACCCGCGCCACAGAATTACGAGTCCTGCGCGCTATCCACCAGGCTACGAGGCCCCACACACTGTGTGTGTGTGTGTGTGTGTGTGTGTGTGTGTGTGTGTGTGTGTGTGTGTGTGTGTGTGTGTGTGTGTGTGTGTGTGTGAAGGGTCTCACGCCTTTGCTTGTCTCGGTACCTTGTGTTAAGCCCCTCTAATGATGGCGGAACAAAGAAGTTAATTCCCGGGTGTCTAGGGGTATACACAGACACAAACTCTCTACTTGCGAACAGACTAGAGGGGTTAAACATGCCACAAACTAGGAGATAGAAGAAAAAGAGGTGATATGATCACCACTTATAAAATACTAACAGGAATCGACCAAATTAGCAAAGAGGAATTCCTGAAACCAGCAACTTTACGAAAAAGGGGACGCAGATTCAAGCTAACAAAGGTGCCGAAACAATATTAGAAAGTTTTCTTTTGCAAATTAGGGAGTGGTAGACGGTTGGAACAAGTTAGGTGAGAAGGTGGTGGAGGTCAAGACCGTTAGTAGTTACAAAGCGGTATACGACAAAACGTATTGGGAAGACGGGACACCACGAGTGTAGCTCTCATTCTGTAACTACACTTTGGTAATTACACACACACACACACACACACACACACACACACACACACACACACACACACACACACACACACACACACACACACACACACATACACATACACGCACACACACACATACACACACACACAGTTGAGAGACTTGACTAAAGAGCCGAAGCTCAACCCCAGCAAGCACAACTAGGTGACTACACACACACACACCTGCAGACCTAGAGGAGTTCTTCAACCGGTGATTGGTGTATGTGTGTGCTTTCTGTAAACTGTAACACAATGCAATAAAATAAGTAAATAAAATACATCAAATTGCATGAAATAATGCAAAAGTAGGGTGTAGTAGAAGAAGAAAATAGTCAAGTGTTCAGGGGAGAATCCACAAGGTCTTCCCTATGCGCAAATTCGTTCGGAATTAAGCGCCCACGATATCATACTTGGTACGGCATATTTTTAATTCTAGGTACTAGAATTCATTCTAGGTACTAATTCTAGGTATTCTAGGTACGACAAAGGATTTTTTTAATTTGTTTTGTTTTGTTTTGCAAATGGCTTTCGAGTTGCGGGTGTTGATGTCTCTTAAGAAATCTTTACATTCTTCTAGTGCTTTGATAAGGTTTAGCCGATCCCTTCCAGTAAAGACTGATGTTTGTTTGCTAACCGTCTTCTCTCCCTCAGACCTGTCGGTGGGCGTGGTGTGGGCGTGGGACGCGGACGACGAGCAGGAAGGCACCAACGCCCACCTCACTTATTCTATTGAGAAAAACGTCATAGAGGAACGGTCAGGCCAGGCCATCTTCGCCATCAACCCAGAGACCGGCCTCGTCCGCACCGCCATCTGTTGCCTGGACCGTGAGACTACACCAGAGTACCACATCCAGGTGGTGGCTGTGGACGGTGGCGGCCTCAAGGGTGAGTCTTGGAGTGCCACCTCCAGGTGGTGGCCTCAAGGGTGAGTCTTGGAGTGCCACCTCCAGGTGGTGGACGGTGGCGGCCTCAAGGGTGAGTCTTGGAGTGCCACCTCCAGGTGGTGGACGGTGGTGGCCTCAAGGGTGAGTCTTGGAGTACCACCTCCAGGTGGTGGACGGTGGCGGCCTCAAGGGTGAGTCTTGGAGTGCCACCTCCAGGTGGTGGACGGTGGTGGCCTCAAGGGTGAGTCTTGGAGTACCACCTCCAGGTGGTGGCCTCAAGGGTGAGTCTTGGAGTACCACCTCCAGGTGGTGGACGGTGGCGGCCTCAAGGGTGAGTCTTGAAGGGTGAAATTTCGTGTTTAACAGCCTTAAGCGTTAGTCGTGGAGAGCGAGCTGCTGTTATGAGCGATCTCCAACAGGAAAGGTCACTCTACTTCTCCAGAGAAGGGATGAAAACGGTGCGCCTAGCAGATGGTTGTGAAGGTCAGCTTACAGCGGTCCCTAACACACGAAGGGTGCAGCCTAAGCTTGAAGTGAGGTGGACGTCGCTCTAAAACGATGTTCTATTTCTGGCGTTCACATATTTCCATTTATATAAACTCTTTTCCAGCAGACGTTTTTGTATTGTTTACACGGGGCTCTCACCGGCAGCCAGCCCTTCATCTCCCGCCACTCACACGGGGCTCTCACCGGCAGCCAGCCCTTCATCTCCCGCCACTCCATATTTACTTCGACAAGCACACACTCCCTCCTGTGTGTGTGTATTTACTATTTGTATCTGCAGAATCGAGCGATTAGCTCATGGACCCCGCCTTACTTAACAATTTTATTTTTTCTCTTATTATATCTACAACATATATTTCTCTAAACACACACACACACATATCCCCCAGAAAGCAGCCCGTAGCAGCTGTCTAACTCCCAGGTATCTATTTACTGCTAGGTGAATAGGGACATCATGGTGAAAGAAACTGCCCATTTGTTTCCACCTCCGCCGGGGATCGAACCCGAGCCCTTAGGACTACGACCCCAGAGCGCTGTCCACCCCCAGTGCCAATACGCCCCCCAGTGGCAGTACGACCCTGTACGAGGAAGTGGATATCGGATACCGACCGACAGGGGTGTCAGCGGGCCGGGGGTGTTCCAATGCCTCGTTGCACGTCGTGGGCCGTCGTCGCGTCTGCCTGCCTCGCTCCACATGGTCACTATACTCATGCCAGCTGTCGCCATCCGTCGTGTTAATCTTGCCGCCTTTCCTCGCCTGTTTGATCATCTGTATCGTTGGCTATCGTTCTCCATGTTGCCATCGTTGGTCGGCGTCTTAATCCGTTCTTGCCGCGCCGTCCGCCGACACCCACCCTGTGTCATCTGTCGTTGGCCGGCATCGTCCGTCTTGCTGTACATCGTTGTTCGTTATCACCGCCTTGCTCACCCCATCCCATTCCCCTACCCCCACCCCCGGCATTTATGTCCGGCTTCGTTGCCAAATTTTCTGTTTTCACTGACCATCGACTTGAAGGTTTGCTGGTCCAGATGATCCCACGCTGCAGCGTTACCAAGGAGGTCCCCCAGATGATCCCACGCTGCAGCGTTACCAAGGAGGTCCGCCAGATGATCCCACGCTGCAGTGTTACCAAGGAGGTCCCCCAGATGATCCCACGCTGCAGCGTTACCAAGGAGGTTCGCCAGATGATCCCACGCTGCAGCGTTACCAAGGAGGTCCGCCAGATGATCCCACGCTGCAGCGTTACCAAGGAGGTCCGCCAGATGATCCCACGCTGCAGCGTTACCAAGGAGGTCCCCCAGATGATCCCACGCTGCAGCGTTACCAAGGAGGTCCCCCAGATGAATCCACGCAGCAGTGTTACCAAGGAGGTCCCCCAGATGAACCCACGCTGCAGCGTTACCAAAAAAAACTTTCCGTGGCTTCGCGATATATATTTCAAGTGGTTTTATTAGCAGTGGCAACACTGTCAGCATTAGTTATATTATTCATTTTATGGCTATCATTATTATTATTAGTGTCAGCAGGAATAGCATTAGCGCTAACATTAATAGTGTTAATGCTAACATTAACACTGTTGGTGCTAGATTTTTTGGTAATGAGCCAAATGTTTGTTGCTATGTATTACTGCAATGTTCCTACAAGCCTGCGAATATACCAAAGCCCGAATTTAAAAAAAATATATGTTTACGATATATTATATATGGCATCAATAATAAAAGCATTATTATTAAAGTCAAATATTAATGTACTCTTAGCGTGCTTGTCTGAAGGTTTGACGCCCAAGATACACAGTATATATATATATATATATATATATATATATATATATATATATATATATATATATATATATATATATATATGTATATATATATATATATATATATATATATATATATATATATATATATATATATATATATATATAATAGCTCATATATTGGCGTTTGCTTTTCCACTGGAGACTTTCGGCGCCGTGGAGAGGAGTGGAGGGACTTGCTGCTTGGGTAACAGCTTCTCTCCCCCCCCCCCGTATCAACCTACCCTGGCTTTGCGCCCTGGAGAGGCCACTTACAGACCAACCACCAGAGCGCAACTCCATAGTCTCCTGAGACTAATGGCTGCCTACTGCTACTAAAGCTCATATTAGACCTCAAGGGTGTCTGTCGCTCGCTCCTTCATCTCTCTGCGTGCTCACTGATTTATACCTTTTTCTTGCTTGGCGGTTGATGAAGAGTGTAATTGACTCATATATTTCCGTCTATTGAGATGCTCTTCTAACCCTCCAGTGTGTTCTCAACTTTCCCAATATATATGTGGGGTTTTTTTCTTTTGAAGTCCCGTAAAAAAAATGGGGAAAGGATTTTATAGTCTCATATCGGCTCTCCATTTGGACCAACCAATTTTCCAGCAAGATCATTCTCTCTCTCTCTCTCTCTCTCTGTCTCTCTCTCTCTCTCTCTCGTCGAAAGAAGGAAATGAAGGAAAATAAAAACAGACTCTAAGACAACCAATACTCTTTTTTTAGGTGTCATTATTATTATTATTAACATCTTTATTGACAAAATTAATTACAATTTTGCCTAATCTGAGGATTTTGATAGTCTTATTAAATTGAGGTTAATGCTAGTATTCACTGTCACGCAGGACAGAGGGTCATACATAAGACAATAGGTCTAAACTGTAGGCTGAAGCACATATTTATCACGGTTACAATCAATGTTTTAATGTGTGGATATGTGAAAACAACTTTCTATTGTGCACTGCCACACAAGGGCAGGGATGGGTTCATAAGTGATACAGCTTAGAATATAAATAAAAATTGTTTTCATTCTTTAAAATGGACAAGCAAATTTTGGGTAAATTGTTAGGATGTCGTCCAGAACACCTGAGTCAATAAAATAGTTACACAGTTGGTGGTACAATAGGCCAGGAGGTCTAAAGTCCTTTACGGTTTCACATTCATCAATATAGTGTTCTAGTGAATGCTTTTAGGTGTGAAGAGAGACCTTGAGCGTGACGGGGTCCCCACCGCCAGTACCTGCTGCCTCCTTTGGCAAGTCTTGTGTCCGTGTGTGTACTCACCTATTTGTGCTTGCGGGGGTTGAGCTCTGGCTCTTTGATCCCGCCTCTCAACTGTCAATCAACTGGTGTACAGATTCCTGAGCCTACTGGACTCTATCATATCTACATTTGAACATGAAAGTATCTACATTTGAAAGTTGGTCCAAATGGAGACCTATGACCCTTAAATTAATGTCTTGTCGCCCTTACTTCCTGCGGAGCTGATAAACGCGTACGCTTCTATTTGCACTCTTCTCTCGTGCTGCCTAAACTTGGTTATGGCTGCCCTCCATATTTCTCTCTGTCTCTCCCTCGACCCTTGGTGGTCTTGCTGCTGCGCGCCGTACTGGGTTACGCCTCAGGCTCTGGGGCCAGATTCACGAAGCTGTTACGCAAGCACTTACGAACCTGTACATCTTTTCTCAATCTTTGGCGGCTTTGGTTACAATTATTAAACAGTTAATGAATTCCGAAGCACCAGGAGGCTGTTTATAACAATGACGACAGTTGTTTGGGAAGTTTTCATGCTTGTAAACTGTTTAATAAATGTAACCAAAGCCGTGAAAGATTGAGGAAAGATGTACACGTTCGTAAGTGCTTGCGTAAGTGCTTCGTGAATCTGGCCCCTGGTGCCTAGCGTTCACCCCACCCTCGTCCTCCTCCACCCAGAACTTGTATGATGAAGCCGGCGTCCACTCCATGGCACAAGAGAATCATCGTGATCGTTAATGACTTGCATGGTCTCCTGCAACATCCTCACTTCCACATGTATGGCTTGCTCAGCCTGTTTCCCCTCATGTGGGTCCTCTCAGCCTGTTTCCCCTCATGTGGGCCCCCTCAGCCTGTTTCCCCTCATGTGGGCCCCCTCAGCCTGTTTCCCCTCATGTGGGCCCCCTCAGCCTGTTTCCCCTCATGTGGGCCCCCTCAGCCTGTTTCCCCTCATGTGGGTCCTCTTCCCTTTTACCGCCTTGTTTGGTAAGGCTGTCTCGCTTGCAAGATTCCCTCTCAGTTCACGTTTTGCAATATCTCTTCCTCGTGTCGTTCCAATCTTGCCTCCGTGGAGGAGGGGTTCTATTTTCAAAGTTTTGCAAGATCTTGACCCGAAATGGTTGAGGATTATACTCCTAATACCGTTCTGGAACGACTTTTCCTTGAGCACTTTTTCCTTCGCACTCCTACTCCATTGTGCTGTGCGC